CTAAACAAAATCCGCATTCATTCATAATTTTAACAATTGCATGTAGATACGAGGGATACATATTCTAAACTCAACGCGCGAAGTTAATACAAAGGAACCGAAAAATCCTACCACGGCTGCCGACGTTCATCAGTTATTGAGTGAGTCAGAGTTACCTAAATTAGGGAAACCAGAATCGTATTTGTTTTTCTTGCTGCATTGTGAAATATTGTTATAACGCAGTTCGATTTTTTAGAGAGTTTTACATTATTTTTATATTTTAATTTAATGAATAGGTTTAGTTAGATTAAATAACATTTAGCAGTAAAGAGTTGTGAAATATAAATACAAAAAACGAAAAAATAGACGACTGGTTGGAATAAGGTAATATCAATTAATACAGAGTATTTATTGAGTGCCGATACTTAAGGGTGTGAATCCTTGGGTATTAAAGTTTTAAGAAAAAAATAACTATTTTTTCATAAGTTTCTTATCACTCTAGATATTTTTATGAAACTTTGCCCAAAAAAAGTGTTTCCACTCATGGTGGGTTCCTACCATAGATATATAACCAAGACAGATAGGATTATTTACAAAATTTTTGAAGAATGAACGATGGTGTCCGCGGTAGAAACTCAATAATCGGATTGAACATTGATGCCAAGTTTACGTGCTTTTAACTATAGATATATATAACCAATACAGATTACACAATTTCTGAAGTCAACGCGGATGATCCTCGACAGAAATGCAATATTTGGATATAATTAAAATATAGATGCCAAGTTTGCGATGTTTTTAACTGTAGTAATGTAATTACGTTTGCTTGTAATACTGTTAAGTCTTTAAATTGTCCAAAAAAAAAATAACGTCTGACAACAGCGGAACTATTGTAGACCATAATTGTATTAGGGTCGTATTTTGTTTCATTCATAAAATTCCTTCGATACAGTACTAGTCCAGGAGCTAGTGAATTTTTTAAGTACTTGTTTTCCCGGTCCGTGTATATTTAAATAATCTTTTCCCAGTGAACTGTGTATTTAAAATGGAACGCCAATCTATTCACAAAAGTAAGCCAGATTGAATTCGCGCATTACGTCACATCGATACAAGTGAGATTGTGTACAAAGTGCCTTTGCAGGTCTATTTTGCCCATTTCATGTATTTGTTTTTAAATCATGTTAAATTACTATTTTTGAAACTCAACAAGAAGAAAATCAAATTAACTCTTCCGTTGTGTGTATATATAAGATAAATTAACTGTAGTTTTATTAGTAAAGTATTAACACTAAAATTTTCCATAAAAACGACCCCATCTCAAGCAACTTATTTTCACTGATTTAAGTTATCGAGTCAGGTTTTATTTTTGTTTTAATAAATTAAAAGTATTCTTTATCGTTAATAACAATTTAATAGATGAGAAATACGTTTTTTACATTTTTAATGTAATTTACAGAAAATAGCTAGGTATGTATTTGTTTTTAAATAATTTGACAATTTATAAAAAAAGGGAGTAAAAGTGGAATTACCAGTGGCCAGTAGGTCAGTCAGTACAATGTATCATATATTTCTATTATAACATAACTAAAATACTTACATCTTTTAATCATAAGGACATAAGTTAAAAACCATTTTAATATATGCATTAGAATGAAGTAATAATAAGTAATAAAAGAGACGAGGTCTTAAAGTAATAGCTGGTACAGCATGTTTTTTAAACCTTTCCTAGTTCCTGCTAGAATGAAATCACTTTATATGAAATGTGCTCTAAAAACGGCATATATAGCAGTCAGTGTTTCAGTCTTAGGTTCTCTTCCTAAAGCCCTCATTCAAGCTACATACCTATTGAAAAATAATTTAAAAAAACATATTATGTAACTATATAGTTTTCGGTTCTAGGTGCCCCAAAAGAAGACACTTAGCCGATAATTTGGCTCGGATAGCTAAAAATCAACAGTCACACTTCGAACCAGGACGTATTGCTATCCTTTTAAGTAAAAAATAACTAAAAATAACTTACCTGAAAAATGAAAGCGTCTAACTTTACACCAAAAAAACCATACACTTTTTCCCATTGTTGCAAGCACCCGATGACGTTTAGGTAAATATCAACTAAAAGCTTATTTTAACACAAAAAGAATAAAGCACTAGTCGAAAAGTAGCAATCAAATATAAATAGACCACATTAAAATTCAAATTAAAAACTATAACTATAAAAGACAAATACTCTAAAAGCGCAGAAGATCAGAACCAAATAAAATGAATAACCATAATAACCTAAAAATCACACTAAAATTGCAAAAAATATTACTGTAAATTTATGAGATTACATCAATAATCCATATGCGTCGGAGTATCACAAATGTCAAAAGTACAGTGTTTCCATGAAAATTTAGCTGTTTTTAGCAGTATTATAGGACCATTTCTACCACGCGTATCCAACGATATTGGCGTTCCACAGTTCACTGTATTTTCCTCACACCTCTAGTATAAATGATTTGACATAACGAAACTAACAATAATTATACCTAATGTAGAGTAATAAGTGTTTCGTGAATTCTAAATAAAACAATTATTATATAAAAGTGTAAAAGGAAATGTAATTTACTTTCCTATTTTCTTCTGTAATATCTTCAATTATTGTGTTTAATTTCTATAAATAAACCAACTGGTTAGGTGAAACATTGTGATATATAATTTTATTTATGTGTCCTATGCGTAAACTTTAATATACAAAACACCTTTAAACATTCTTTAAATAATTGTGGTCGTAGAAATAATTGTGTACATAACTCGTTTGAAAGTGTATTTTATGCACTTGCCAAATATATTATCCATACTCACAGATTAATCAGACTATTTTTTTACTTAACTTCAGTAAATCTCTTACTACTAAAACTATTTTTATCAATGGAAAAAAAGGGCCGTGTTCTCGTATGTTTTGACGCATTTTCGGCCTCAGCCCATTGGATCCTCCCTCTTAATATATATGAATTTTGCTTAGAATTGCTAATCCTACAATTCTCTATCCGTGCTTGCTGACTTGGAAAATAAATACCGAAAATCGTCGCTGTCTCCTGGACTATAGAGTAGATGATGATGAGGACTTCACAACAAATACACTTTTATGAATGGCTAGTTGGGGATGTGGTTCCTACCAAATTTCAACAAAATATCAAAAGCAGTTTCAATAAACTGGTTTTTATTCTCTTAAGCGAAAAGGGTGCGTCGTACGAAAGTACGTCTATAAACCAAATTTGCTCCAAAATAAATAAGGATTTTAAAGATAATTTTGGTTTTTAGAAAAAGCAGTGGCGTACCATATTTTTCTTCAAAAATATCAGTTCAAATCCGGTACGGACGTCACTGGTAAAAATTTAGAAGTCTTTTACGTCAAAAAGCCGGGATGAAAGTGAAAATTTAGTCTGTATTATGTAATACTATATTTATATATCTAATTTTTATTATTACACTTAATGTGACATGGCTTTTTTGTTGGCCTTTTTTGGATAACAAAATATTATTTTAATGATTTAAAATAAGCTGCCAGTAATAATAATAATTATCTGTACTTAAACATATACAAAGTGAAATCATAAAACGACGCATCAAGAAAGTCGAGTTTTGTATTTTTTTAAAAAACAATCAAATTTTGAAAAAGTGTCTCCAGAGGAGCACAGATTTAACCTTTACCTATACGTACATATTTTTTTCTTTTAGAAAAAGTCAATAATAAACTTTAAAAGTGGAGTACTACGAAACCCTTGCATGCTCCGCGCTACAGCCAAGTAAATACTCCTCTTAAGGGGAGATAATGTATTTACTAGATTACTTAAAGATTATAATTTTTTAGTGGTAGAAAATCATATCATTAGAAGGGTTAGAAAAAACAGTATTTTCGTTTTTCAAATGATAGGTACAAAGTAGTATTTCCAACTTTGGGTCTCATTTTCTTCAAATCTATAAAATTGGAAATAAAATCATTTACCTTTAAGGTACAAATTTAATGATAAAATAATTCAGTACCCTTTAAAATTAAAACATTGACCTTAAAGATAGCCATTTAAAAAATACATACAGCTAATGATTAACAGTAATTTTGAGGAGCATTGACCTGCAGTATTTGAACAACTGAATTTTTTAAGGATTTTGTTCTAAAAATACCCAGGTGGGTATACCTAACTACCTACTAGATTTTGTTTTATAACATTTCTAAGTACTGTTATTTTGTTTGCTTAGAAAAGTATTCAAACAATAAGTATTTAATTACTTTAAAAACCATTAGAGAGGTATTTAAATAACTGAATTTTATATAATATCACTCATAAATCAATTAGAAATGTTTTTTTTAAAGATCAAAATAATTTCAAAGAACTAATATCATTTTTTAACAACTTCCATTTTGTTGATTCCACAAAATCCAATATTGTTAAATAAGTATGAAAAAATAAAAGATTACCCAAAAAGGGTTAGTATTAGAAATAAAAAAACTAGCAAAAAATTAACTAAGTACAGATTCACTATCAGTTTAAAATCCCCAAACACAATTTACAAAAGTACCAAATTTTAAAAGTAGGTACCCAGATACAAAAAGAATCCCTCCATCCAATTCAAAAGGACAAAAGAATAGAGAAATGTAACAATTGGACAGGTCAAAATTATACCTAATCCACAGAACGTTCTGCTAGTCTGGTGTCTGCGAATTGTTGCAAGACCTTTTGCAACGGCTGTACACAAGATGTGAATGCACTACGTATGGATCAAGGGTTGAATTTTTACCTGACTCAAGGACGACGAGAACGAGATGTAAGACTCGTCTCGCAAAATTAAAAACATGTGTATTCCAAAATATAATCTATTTTTAGAACTGCATTTTAAATTTTCTCTAGGAAATATGCGCCGAAAACAGCTATACTAAACAATAAAAAAAAACAAAGCGCAACACTATTACGAAAATCAATACACTCTATAACGGTATATACAATTTTAAACAATAAAAATAGATAATAAGAGTAAATTACCTTCAAGAAAGTATTTGAAGTCGTAGTACCGGCAATATCAAGTAATAAAACGCTGCATTTATCCACGTTCAAGACTGGACTAGCGAGTTCAGTACTCATTTTGTTATTTTCACTAATTTCGAATGACTAGCACTGGTTTTTATATGTTTATTTCGGTTTTAAGTCGTTATTTGTTGTTAAAATTAGGAAAAAGTTAGCCGGCACTCGCTGCAGATGATTCGATCTTGCTAGTAACGTATTAATGACAAAATGGTGACCGGTTCGGCAAGGAGTGTGCGCACCGAGAAAAAACCGCCAAACGAGATCATGCGAAGGTGTACGAAGCGAGCAGGAATGCCAACGTAAAGAATATAAAAGAACTAATTATTTATCTTTGTTTAGACATTTTTTGCAATTCCATGAGCGTACCATTAAAATTTGAAAGAGAATACTGTTACTAGACATTGCCAGTATTTATAATAGTTTGGAATGATCCGCAAAAAAGGTTTCTGAAGTGGTCATGCAAAAAATCACGGATGTCGAAACGTACGAATCTTCTTTTTTTTTAAATGACAGTTTGGGTTTCGTAGTTATATACTGATTTCCAGTGTTGCCGGACCTACTGTTTTAACAGTAAATCTACTGTTATTTGACAAATTTTGTTCTTAATTTATTGCCTCGTTCTTAAGCAAATATATAAAGGACATGTTCTCAAGTAAATTTGTTGGAGTCAAATCAGCGTAATAAGTTGAATACAGCCAGTATCGCAGGTTTGCGCAACACAAAAAACTTCCAATCATTTTTTTTAAATGAAAAAAAATTAATAGGGCATCATAATACTTAAGAAAATGCAAGACAAACACAACATATTTGAATCATCTGATTTAGACTGACTGAAAAAAATAAGTATTTATTAATTTTATTCTTTAATTTTTAATTTGGGTATAAAAGCCAAAAATGTTTATTTTTCGTTTTTTTTTATTCCATTGAAATGTGATGAGGATGATGAACATACATACAAATCTTAATAAAGCTGAGCTTTCAAAAGGAATTGCATTATTATAATAAACAAAACACCTTTATGTGTTCTGGTTTTCCAACAATTTCAAACAGTCTTTGCCTTTATACGCACACAGTCTGGCGCAGTTTCAAAAACCGTTTTCATTTGAAGAACCAGAACAAACCTGTTGTATAGTTCTGCGTGTTTTCGGATTTTACAAAATTCGTTCAATTTGCATAAAATATCTTCTTTCTCTTTTCCAATAATTGGGACCAAACAAATGATACATTATGAATGAAATGCTTCAACTGTTATTTCTTTTATCTAAGATTATTCTTTAATGTTTGGGAAATTGAGCTTACCGTCGAAATATTTAAATTCAACGCCGCTGCTACACGCTCTCCGACTGCATTTATTGGTAATAGAAAGTTATTGCAAGTTCACTTAAGGTCATTAGAGAGTTATTGCAAGTTCACTTAAGGTTATTAGAGAGTTATTGCAAGTTCACTTAAGGTCAGTCACTATTAGTGCCGCTCTTATTTTGACATCTGAGCATGCGCAGATCACTAACTTTAATAAAGATTGTGCCTATCCTTAATAGAGAGATTGCAAATTTCTATAAAGCCAGCTACTAATAGTGACATCGTAATTAGAGTCAAATAAATTCTATAATAGTACCTAATATTAAAGAGGCATTATAAATTATAATTTTAGAAGGTTTAAATGACGAGTGCATCCGAAAGCTATAAAGTCGCCACTACCTGCTGCCCTTAAACATCCACAATTAAGGACAGGCACAATCCTTAATAAAGTCAGTTTTAGAACATAAACATCTGCGCATGCTTAGATGTCAAAATAAGAGCGGCACTAATAGTGACTGACCCTAAGTGAACTTGCAATAACTCTCTTTTAAGGACAGGCACAATCTTTGTTAGTGATCTACGCATGCTCAGATGTCAAAATAAGAGCAGCACTAATAGTGACTGACCTTAAGTGAACTTGCAATAACTCTCTATTCACTATTAGTGCCGCTCTTATTTTGACATCTGAGCATGCGCAGATCACTAACTGTAATAAAGATCGTGCCTATTAGGCATTCCAACGACCTGTCCAAATGGCTACCAGTGGGTAATGACAGTTTAGATATGGCAACCCTGTTGTCATTAACAGGGTTAATGATACATATATAGTTATATAGATTGCTCAGGGCTGGTCGTTTACGAGCGGCCATATTGCCTGGCAAATATTTATTAATTTGAATCGGTTTAGCAAAAATGTGTTCTAAAACCAATTTTTAGCCTTTAGATATTTAAAAAAAAAAATAATTGCTTACATTTTTACTTCAAGGCATACACTTATGTTTATTTTGAAAAATATGGATAATCAATCTATGTAACTATCTATTTCATTGACCTTGTCAAATCACCAGGCCTACAGGGTTGCCATAATTTTGCCATATCATAACCCGTCAAAACCCACTGATAGCCATTCAGTTTGGAATGCCTAATAGCCTGTCCTTAATAAGAGAGTTATTGCAAGTTCACTTAAGGTCAGTCACTATTAGTGCCGCTCTAATTTTGACATCTAAGCATGCGCAGATGTTTATGTTCTAAAACTGACTTTATTACGGATTGTGCCTGTCCTTAATTGTGGATGTTTAAGGGCAGCAGGTAGTGGCGACTTTATATCTTTCGGATGCGCTCGCCGACATTTGTATCCGTTAGAAGTTTTTTAATATTAAATATAATCGTCATTTAAACCTTCTAAAATTATAATTTCTAATGCCTCTTTAATATTATGTACTATTATAGACAACAAAAAAGATGAACTATAATTTAAAGTTATTAAAATAAGGTTAGAAATAAGTATAAGGATTCTAATGTCAAAATTTCAGGTTTGCAATAAGTCTGATTTTAGCATGGAATTTATTTGGCTCTAATTACGATGTCACTATTAGTGGTTGGCTTTATAGAAATTTGCAATATCTCTCTATTAAGGACAGGCACAATCTTTATTAAAGTTATTGATCTGCGCTTGCTCAGATGTCAAAATAAGAGCGGCACTATAGTGACTGACTTTAAGTGAACTTGCAATAACTCTCTATTATCTCGTTCTTCTTCAAAATATCTTATTAGAGACCCCACTAATTCCGTCGCACGGCTATTTAAATACTTAAGCATTTTAAAAATCAAAAAATAAATTTGTTTATTAAATACAAAAATAATACTTTTGAAAGTTTGACAGTTCAATTATACATTAGGCATTCCAACGACCTGGCAAAATGCTGACAAGTGGGAACTGACGCTTAGATATGGCAACCCTGTGGCCTGCTGTTATTGACAGGGTCAATGATACATATATAGTTCTATAGATTGGTAAAAGCGGGTCCTTTACGAGCGGCCATATTGCCTCCCTAGTGCTCATTAATTAGAATCAATTTGACAAATGACAGTTCTAACGCACGAATTTTAATCTTATAGGTGTCACACTTGTTATATAAATTTAATAACTGACATTTCTGATGCATAAATACCAGCCTACTTACAATTTTTTTTTTTTAATAAAAATCTACTTTGAGCTTTTTCCTTCTAAGTGTCAGATGAATTCAATTCAGAGCTGTGCATAGTTATCACAGACATGACTCGTATTTCTGTCTTCGTCAGTCATAGCCTACTTTAGAAACATTTTTTGTGGAGCACTTTATTTGAACTCATTGATAACTTTGTCAGCATCCCTGACATATTAAACAGGACAGGTCACTACTAATTACTTGGAAAAATTGCTAAAGAAAACCACATTTAGTGTATATATATATTTAATAACTCTTATTTATAATATTTATATTTATTCAGTATCACTGATAAAGCAAAGCTGTACATTAAAAAAATACTGTCTACAATAATATCAACTATAATCAATATATACATAATGGTTCAGACGTTTAAAAAATCTCTTAAACATCACCTTAAACGTTAATTATTGAATGTATTTCAGGATTACAAGTACGCAAATTTTTATTATTATTATTATTATTATTATTATTTCATAGACCAACATATCTCTCTTTATAAATTTTAACAATATTACTTTTTAAAATTCATACAATCAAAGCACTTGGCCTAAAAATCATTTTATTTACAAGTAAAATCGCTATCAAAAATAGCTATATGATTTTGTCCGAATTGTCAAAATCGGACGTTCGACAACCGTGACAGCTGTCAAAGTTGTCAACGGTGCAAATGGCTACCGTTTACGTGACAACGATGACGAATTGAGTAGGTAATAATAATTATTTGACAATTGCGTGGCATTTTGTTTAGTATCACAGAATGTATATCTGTCAATGTCAAGATTTTGATATTTTTTGAGAAAAAAAAATTATTAATAAATATGTGTATTTATTTTTGATAGCAAGTTAATGACGTCGAAATTACATTTAATTCGAATACATTGCGGGTTTATATCTAAAAAATTGTTTTTTATTAAGTATACAGGGTGTCCCAAAAGTTGTTGTCAATAATTGAGTGGTAAAAAAATCTGTAGTGATTGAAATTGTACGAAATTTTAAACAAAATAGTGCCTAAAAATATTTCCATACCTGAATTAAATAAATTATTTACTACAACTCCCAGGACAACGTGTATTTATGATTAAATGATTTTTGGGGTATCTGTCATTAAAGATCTTTGTTGGTATTGATTGTTATTTTTGCACAAAAAAAATTAAAAATAAATTTATTGCAACGAAACGTTTTGATTGTTTAAAATAAATTGTACTATGTAGCAGTTTTGGATCAAACCTTTCATTTTTAGATATTTTGATTTCGTAATTTAGAAAATTTCAGTATTCAACCTAAAAATAAATCAAATCTGGATGATAATCGGTGATAGATATACAAAATAAAACATCAAAAGCTTTGATATGTTATCGGTACCAAAAACATTTATTAAAAAAACGACTAATGTTTAAAAATGTTTACTTTTTTTTATAAGTTTGTTTTTTTTTATCAAATTAACAATATTTATCATTAAAAATTCCCATTATATAATTATACGTTCATCAAACAGTTATTATAACGTTGAATATCAGACTTGTACAAAAAAATTTGTTTCAGTACACCACATTCTCGAATCACCCAGTATAAGTTAAACAATGAACTAGAAAAATTAAGGAATTTTCATCCAAGAAGAAATTTTTTTATAAAAAAATTATTTAAACAATTTTTTACGTTTTTAGGTACTTTTATCGTACATCCCCTGTAAAAACTGACGGTGAGCAAAATAATCGATTACTCGATTACTTTTGTTTTATATAAAAATCGATTATAATCAAAACTAATCGATCTTTCGATTAATCGAATATTTTCAATTTTAATTCAAAACAATCGATTATTTTGGGAGCTTAGCATTTTCTTTATAGAATTTTCTTCTTGGATTCGGAAAATGCTATTCCTGAACAGCTATTACCTATTATATGACACCTTAAAAATATAAAATCAGCCAGCAAATTATCCATTTTCTATAAAAAAAAATAAAATTTAAAATCTACACCAGGGATAGCAATTTTTACAAATCAAACGCCTCCTATTGCAAATATAGCACCCAAGTTTTAATTTAGTCAAAATTCTTTTAATATACAGAATAAAATAAAAGAAAATCATTTTAGATTATTTTTTTTGTAAAAACTGCCACCCAGATGAGATCTAACATAAACTAATTTGCAGTCCTGTAAAGTATATACAATACAAATATCGTAACGTCTAATATTTAGAGAAAAAAAAAATAACAAATACTAATACAATAAATAAATATATAGTTAAAAAGCGTACAGCTTGTACCATACAGCGTCTTTCATTTCGTAGTGAAAATAAAAAACGTTGAAACATTTTCGTAATTCGACCAACAGAAAAAATACAAATGCTTTACCCTTAACGTTTCAAAAAATGCATATAGTAAAATAAAAACTATATCAATTTGACAACTGAAGTTTAAGACACACGAATATCTTTCTTATGAGTGTCACTTGTCATCAAAAAAATGCATAAAATTAAAAACATCAATTTGACAACTGACGTTTCTGACGTACCACTCTCATTCTCATAAGTGTCACTAGTCATCCAAAAGTGCATAAAATAAATTAAAAAGTTCATCAATTTGACAACCGAGGTTTCTGATGCACGAATATCATTCTTATAAGTGTCACTTGTCATTTTAAGATTATCAAAACCTGAACAACTGTTAATTATGCATTGCCGTACAAGATAAAAAAATCATCAATATAAAGAAGAAACGAAAAATAATGTGAAAGAAGAAGAAGAAGAAGAAGAAGAAACGAAAAATGATGTAAACAAAAACTTACGTTCTTCAAAATTAGATATTATCAGCAATCAATCCATAACGTTCTTAAAATACAAAAATTACATTCTGATGCACAAATTTTACTCTTATAAGTGTCACGTGTTATATAAATTTGACAACTGACATTTCTGATGCACAAATTTTATTCTGATGTGTCACTTGTTATATAAATTTGGCAACTGGCGTTTCTGACACACGAATGCCATTATTATAACTGTCACTTGTCGTTTTAAGACCTGGCAAACCTCAAGCTGTTATTAGGTCTTTTCCTTTGCATCGAAAGTGTAGCACTGAGCTACGCTACTTTTGAAAATATTAATGTCATTCGTATAAGTGTCACTTGTCCAAAAAATGCATAAAGTAAATTAAAAACTACACCAATTTGACAACTGACGTTTCTGATGCACGAATATCATTTTTATGAGTGTCGCGTATCGTTTTAAGATCTATCAAACCTCAAGAACTGTTATTTGTTCATTGTCGATCAAGCTAACGTCAAAATAGTCATCGATATAGAGAGAAACGAAATATGATGTAAAAAGGACTTACTTTCTTTTAAATTGGGCAGTACCAGATATCAGTCTTGTCAAATATCACTTGTTAGATATTGAAAATGCGAAATATCCACCAACGATATTCAAAAATCGCTACCAACGCTATTAAACCTGTCCGTTGTCATTTGTCACGTATTCAATACATTAATTTGACAACTGACGCACGAATAACATTATTAAGTGTCACTTATGATTTTAAAATCTATCAAACCTCAAGAAGTGTTAGTTGTCCATTGTCGAACAAGCTTATGTCAAAATGTTCATTAATATAAAGAGAAATCAAAACATGATGTTAAAAACACTTTCATTCTTCAATATTAGGTATTTCCAGCTATCAGTCTTGTGAACTGTCATTTACTAGATTTTGAAAGGTCTAAATATAAACAAGTGTAAAGTAGATAATCTCCAACATAAAATACTATTCGAGAGATTCAAAAATCGCTACCATCGCTTGTCAAACGTTCAAACGCTAAAATATTTAAAAAATGACTTGCACTAATTGTCAATGGTTAGATATTTAAAGGTGAAAGTGTTTAGTAAACAAACAAAAAAATAGGGTTCGATATAAAGTATCACCAACAGTTTCTTAACCTGTCAATTGTCATTTATCAGACATTAAAAAGATGACTTATTTAATAGTCTATAGAGAAAACTAAACAGTCAATTATCAGACATTTCGAGGTTAAATGTAAAATATGACAGTCAGAAATCATTGACTCGTACTTGTCAATTGTAACTTTAAAAGTCATAATTTGCCGATTATTTAATTGTTGAAAGATACGATGAAATGAAGCGATTTGTGTATGATGCTTTTGTATCCGTTAAGTGACAACGCCACAGCTGTCTAAACTGCCAGCCATCAGTGCAAATTCGAAGTTTTATGAACAATGCGATTTACAAATTGTCATCAGTTTAAAAAAAAGACGATTTTTGACATAAAATATGACGCATACTGGACAAATGTCGCCATCGGCAGCTATCAAACCTGTCAATTCATTTAATCCACCGTTTATTTACTTGTTGAAAAAGAACTAAAAAGGGAATTGATTTTTATACGATACTTTTGTATACAGCTGTCAAACGTCAGTTGTCGCGCGTAGTTTTTCCCTTTCCGTTGGTCAAATTTCGACGTGCTTACGCGCAAGTGTCGTATGTGGGTGTGTTTGTTTGTGTAAGTGTGTCTAAAGTGTCGAATTTTGTCGGGTTGGCACTAAGCTCACTATAGCGAGTGATAGCGAGTTGCATCGAAAATGGGACTAGCACTTGTTGACGTCCGGAGGCGTCGCTAGGTATTCGTCGACCCTTTTGTGATCCGAGAGGCTGCTCATCGTATATTGGTCTTGAGGTAGCTCCGATTTGCGGCGGATTAACGGTTTGGTCATGTTGCGCTGCTTTTTACTCTGCCGAAAACGAAAAACAGTGTAAGCGTCAGTTTCGGGACTTACGTTGGTAAATAAAGCACAAAATAAGTTTCGGCCTGCATGGCCTTCTTCAGGTCTACAACACAAATGATAGAATTTTACAAGAGTTCTCGAAACTAGTCAAAACATGAGGTGAACAAAATAATCGATTAATTTCGATTAATCGGTTATTATCGATTTTTCAAAGATAATTTAATAGATTATTTTCGATATTTCAAAGATAATATAATCAAATATTCGATTTTAAATACAAAAAAATTAATTTTCTTTCTAATTAACAATGTGTTGTGGGCAACAACTTTCTTTGAAAATAACGTTAAAATATAAATTTTTGTTTATTTTTGAGAAGCAATTTATCAACGAAACATCCAATCACACTAGCTTGCTTTTAAAAGTCGATTTTTTTTTAAATCTAATCGATTAGGTATTTTCGATTAATCGATTATTTTTGATGATAAATCGATTATTTTGATTATTTCGATTACACGAAAATATTCGATTATTTATTTTGATAATCGTCCAACCCTAGTCGAAAGTAACTAGAAAGCGATCTAAAAGTCCCTTAAAGTGCTAACTTTTTCCTTAACTTTAATTTTTAATAATAATTACCACACCTAACTTGTACTATTATGAATGAATTTGAAAAATTCTAAGATTTACATTTTTTAATTCTTATGTTAGTAACCATTTATTTTGTAATGTTATTTTCACCATCTTCTATATCAACTGTGTTATTTGTATTGTAGACTTGAAGATGGACATGTTGGTCGAAACTAGTCGCGACATTTTATAACAAATTTATGCTGTGATACTGATTTTGTGCTTTATTTCCATTTCATTACTGATCACATTTGAGATAATGGATAATCATTCATTCACTTCGTTTAGTTTATAAGATAAGCTTTTTTTGCTTTTTGAAGGTCCCTCGTATACTCGATAATGAAACACTACGATTTTGCTTACAGTGATTCCGACTTAAATGTTGTAGGTGATGCCTTAACTTTTGTGCCTTCGACACAGTAAGGTTTAACAAATTTTAATGAACAATAGCTGACATCAGAACTAACAAGAGTCTCATTGAATTTGGCCCACTTATATAAAGGTTGCAAACCACATTTAAATATTTACTTCTATTATGTTTTTTTTTTTATTTATATTAAAAAAAAATTTTTTTGTAACTGAACACAAAATTCTGGAGGTTTTTTAGGCATTCCAACGACCTGCCAAACAATAGCTACCAGTGGGAAGGGCTCGTATATCTGAAGGGGTTGCAACATTGCCTTCTATCTTGGATACTATTTTTATTCGAAATAGTAGTCGCCAAGATTGAGTTTTTTTTAATTATATTTTCATAATCAACATAAAATATTTAAATTTAATCCATTATTCATGTTTTCACGTATTGATAGAATACATTGTAAGTCGCAACCCTTTAGATATACCAACCCTTCCCATTTGACAGTTCTTTTGTTTGGAATGCCTAATGTAGTTCATTGATCGTTAGTGTGACCAGTGGCGGTTTGCCCGTAAGGGCACTTGAGCACGTGCCCTAGTATAAGAAATAAAAAAAAATAACTTACATATTTTATATTTTCCTCAATACCTATTATTATTTTATCTAATATTCAGCGCAAACCGCGTTGGCACGACACTGGACGACCGGGCGTTGAGCGACGTTCCGAGAATTCCGAAAGAAGATGGGCACATGGCACAGTAAATGTGTGCCTCTGTTGTTTTCTCTCTCATTATGATGCGAAAAACAAGGACAATATCGCTTAGCAAGAGATGAACACATGCGATGGATTATACGTCACAAGCGGGGCGGTGTCCTAGACCAGATATGAATGATACCAATGTACGCAGAGGCATCTTTACCGGCTCCCTCACAGAGGCGATGGCGGTTTCGAATTAAGGTGCGCGTTTGTTGGACCATGATAATAATTGATTTAGATTACGAAAAAACGTTAGTTGGACCATTGGAATAGTTAAGAAATAAAACTACAAAGAAAAATAACTTTTTTTTTATAAAGCAGTCAAAAATATGATGAAAAAAAAATCAATATTTATAAATGGGACAAAATTTTTATTTTTCTTTTGGTTTTGTCTGACTTTTTCGAGGATTTCAAATCTCTGTTTGCATATTTAAGAGTATAAAAAATTCTGAGTCTTATAAATAATTTAATGGTGTACATTTTCGCAAATTGTTGGCAAGGATGACCAAATTCCATTTTGCTCATCTCAAAAAGGTATACGTTGGAAATTCCAGTCTAGTTGACAAACTATCAAATAAATATTTTTTCTAATTTGAATATATAAAAGAGAAATTTTTCGCTGGGAGATTTTAAATTGCCAAACACCTTTTCTTCAGAGTCGTATGCTTTAAAATTGCGTTAACAAGTTAGAATTGTTAAGTAAATTGCATTCTTCTGAGAAATTTACGCAAATTTCGCAAGAGTGGATATGTAATGATTTTTTGATTAAACAGCCACATACATAGTTAAATGCATTGGTCACATTTAGCTCCCTGTAGTCACATTCAGAAATCGTTATTGCCCCAACTAATTGATTTGAAACATATTTAATTTTCATTAAGCGGAGAACTTGTTTTCCTAAGGGAAAAACGAATCCCGGGATTCCTTTCCAGTGTGTGCCCCACTGCCGCTAGTGCCCACGAGCCGCCACTGAGTGTGACTAACTTTTATAGTCCAGTTAGCTGTGGTTTATGAAAACAATTGAAAGATGTTTGTTTGACATTTCTAAATTTGTAACCCGTCTTTATAATATAGTTTTTTTGCGCTAATTTGTGTGATCTAATTTACAGAACATTAATACTTCCAGTTCACAAATTAAATCTCTCCTTTTCTGCTGAAGTTCTTCCAATTATACCTTTGAAATAGCCAGTAGTTTGTTTTTTTAAATGATTATTCATCAAATATTGTCAAAATCAGGCGTGCCTCAAGGCTCAAATCTCGGGCCACTACTATTTTTACTATTTAACAATGACCTGGATGTCCATTTGGATTCTGGCAGATTTATTTACACACATGATTTGAAAATCTACCTTCAAATAACTGATAGAAATGACTGTATAGTACTACAGTTTAATTTGGACAGAATAACTGAATAATATGTACAAAAAGAAATTGTCAACATGTTTAAGTGTGAAGTAGTGATAAAAAAATTACGTGCAGCACCGTACACGTGAGAGAAGTAAAACTTCTTAAAAACTAGAGAATAAGAGATTACAGGGCATAATAAACTCAACTCCAGAACACTCAACTTTACTTTACTTCACTCTGCTCCACTATACCAATACTTAACTCCATTCTACCCTACTCCACTCCATTCTACTCTACTTCACTGCACTCCATTCCTTAATACTCTTCTCGATAATCTACTCCATACTCTACTCGATATTCTACTCGGTAATCTACTTGATACTCTACTCGATATTCTACTCGGTACTCTACTTGATAGCTTACTCGATACTCTACTTGATAGCTTACTCGATACTCTACTCTATTCGATTCTACTCGACTCCATTTGCTACCCTCCTTCTCCACTTTGCTCCGCCTGGTATCTTTCAAAGAGAAACATCGTATAGAAAATCAAGGTCAATATTCTTTTAATTTCGTTACACGTTTCAGTTTCCGTTACCATGGTGACACCTTACATGTCCTTGAATTGTCACTCTCAATTTTTTAAATATCGGACCGCTGCCTACTCGTCAAATATCGAACTGCGGACTAAGGAGTTTTACTTCAAAAAACTCCATTATAATTTAAACGGTTCTGTCTTGCCTGGTCTCTGGTCATTTTTCTATCAAAATTCTTGTAGTCATATTTGATGCTGGTTTAAGCTTTGTAATGGGTGTTCAAATTTGACATTCCGATTTAAATTGGCCGCCATTTTTGGTAATGTTCATTGATAGTATTTCTATGGTGACATATGTTAAGTAAAAACTTTTGCGGATACTTGTTTTTTTTTGTTACCATGGAACAACAATCCATTGAAAACCCCGTTTTTATTGTAAAAAATTATTACCAGAATGGGGAATGTTTTGCTGAAACTTGCAAGAAGATGCCTTGTACGCATTTCGGAAGAAATTTAGCACCACTTGTTAAAGTTATTGAGAGTTTTATGAAGAGGTTTTAGCAGCAGAATATGGGGTGAAGAAAATCCAAGAGAAATATTGGAAAAACGGCTCCATCCAGTAAATGTGACTGTGTGGTTTTTGCTCTAGTGGCGTTATTGGTCCTTATTTCTTCCAGAATGAAGCTGATGAGTCGATAACTGTGAATGGAGCGCGATACAGGACAATGATTACGAGATTATTTGTGGAACGAATTAGAAGATATGGATGTCCAGAACATGTGGTTCCAGCAAGACAGTGCCACTTGCCAAACATCGGATAAAACACTAAATCTTTTAAGGGAGAGATTTGGCATTTGAATAATGTCTCGAAGAGCTGAGGGTAATTGTTCTTACACCATTGGATTATTTCTTGTGGGGCTTTCTGAAGGAAAAAGTTTATGCTAATAACCCTCAAACACCTGAACAGCTTCGAGTTAACATGATTAAAAAAATTGAAGAAATTGAACAGAATGTTTGCGAAAATGTTCTTAAAATTTTTGTAAAAAGAATGTTAGCATGCTAAAGAAGCAGAGGGCTCACATGCCGGATATCATTTTTTCATCATTAATCTTAACATTTTAACTTTAAAATAATACAATAATATTATATTATTTAAAGGACTTTAGAACATATTCATGTCAACATTTCCGAAACTTACAAACTATGTGCTTTATTGCCGTGGATTTACGGATATTACATGTTTAAAAATGTGTCCATTCATTAGAATTAAACTTGAGTACTGTTCACGTTACCTGGAATTCATACTATAATTATATAGCTAACGAAGCTATAAAAAAATATCCTAAACTATATAGCATTCAAAGTGGCATTTATCCACAAAGGGG